GGCATGGATTCACTTGTTGTGGATGTGGTCGAAAAGAAAGTTATTATGGGTGCCGGCATGCATTCGCTAGTATCTTGTTTCGCTATAAATATCAGTAATCTTGCAGTTGTGGAAATAATTCTACGGATGCTCTGACCTTGGATGCGCACGTAACATGAAGATGCTGCGGGCAAATAGGGTGTGTGTGTGTGTGGATAGTATTAGCCTAGTACGGGTGAAGAAAATTCTGGTATTCAGTTCTATTCAATGGCAAGCCTCATTTTACTTGTAGCAGAGAAGCCTTGGAGATTTGCCAACATAATTTCAGCGCTCTGGGATCTGAGAACTCAGGTGTCCACGGTGCTTCAAGTGTTTTCCTTCCCTACAATGCCTGGCGCACAGAGCAATGTTTGGTCAGCCGCACGGGTGGAGTTCATTCTTGAGGCTATCTGGATGGAGCAGTTACGAAGCCTGTGCCGTGCAAGAGATGGAAGCAGGGCCCACAGGCCAAAGCTTCGAGGGTCAGAGGTTTTTGCAGTCAGAGCACACTTGCAGCAGGCACGGTGCTTGACTCGCTGAGTGACGACCGCCCGGAGCTATCGGCCAACTCGCCCGAGGAGGTTGGAAAATGAAGAACGGCTTCCAAAGGTTGTTCCCGGGTCATTGAAACAGGTGGTTCTGGAATGCGGCAAGATGATTGACGCTTATGGCCTCAGCCTGCTGGTGCGAGCTCCAGGCCAACAGATGTCACGAGGTGCTAGAGTTTCATAGCTCCCGGAGTGGAAGATACTGCGGAGGCAGTCGTGAGATGGTGGCGGTTTGTGCCTCAAGAGAATTCAAGTGTGGTCCTTGTCTCTAGACGCTTGGTACTTGCCCGTGATACCCTACACATGTGCTATTTCTTGCCACATGATGATGTCCGCAATCGTGATGGTGATGATGATGATGATGATGATGATGATGATGACGATGATGACGATGATGATGATGATGAGGATGATGAGGATGATGATGCTGATAATGATGCAGCAAGTGGTAGCCTTATCCCAAGCGCACGTGACGCCAGCGCATTTTCAATAAGGCATCTGTGCTGCGGGTGAAGCGATTGCCAGAGGCGCAGCCGTCCTGAAACTCCTCCGTGCTTGCGTATTGTCACGTTCGACAGCTGCACAGTAGCTTGCAGCACGTAGCTTTCTCAAACGATGCGTGCATCGGCCTGCCTTGTTCTCTTTGAAGTCATTGCTTTGACAGAGTCGCGCTTCATGTCTTCCGCGCTTCCTGTAAATGGATTTCCTCTTGGCACTGGCAGAGCATCACACCCACTGAGTGCAATTGCTGTGAGCGGCCTAGACGTTGTCCCAACAACATGGGCAAGTCCTTTCAGGGCTGCCATGTCAGCGAGGATATGGAGGAGGCTGGAAGATCAGTACCCTCGTCTACCCTTCTGACACTTGTCTGTGTTGAAGTTTTGGAGTTTCCTGTTTGCTATCTTCCAGCGGAATGTCAATGCACATGGTCAGGGTGCTGGGCGGAGCTTGTGTAGCAAAGTTTGTGCTGTCTGTCTCGATGTTTGCCAGCCCTCGATCACCTGCACCGTGGACATGTCCCTGGTCTGCATCAAGTGGCTTTTGTTTGAATTTTCTCATTTTGGGAGCCGGGATCTTCTCCCAGTGATCCACCTTTGCTCGGCCTTGCTTTGCGGCTTGCATCAGCTTTGCTTGCTGACCTTCGCCTGCTTGGAACTTGACTTGTCATACGCTGTCTACACCCCCACATCCCTCGTGCACTTTCTGCAAGGGATGTGGTGATGGAAGCTGGTGCCCTGGAGGACCGCTGCCAGCGTATATGTGTGATTTGTTAAGATGACTTGGAAGTTTGCCGGCTGACGCTTTGATGCGAAGCTCCCTGTTCCATGTGGCAGAAAAACGTACCAGATTTTTCATGAACGCATACATGTTGTGCAGAAGGGCTGTGGCTGGACCAGCTGGTGCAGCCAGTCGCCTGACACGTTGCCTTCGTGCTGTAGTGCATGAAGGCGGTGGCGTACATTGAGTCCATTGCTGTTTCCCGTGCCTGGCAAGCAGCCCAGCAGCCCTTGTTCAAACATGTTCTCCAACCTTATCAAACATTCACCTCTGCACCTTTGCTGATTATTGCTGTGTTCATTGTGCCACATAGTTCTGCGGGGCGTTGTCGGGACACTGCGGTTTCATATCCCAATAGTTCTAGATCCACAAAGGCGAGGGGCTGGCCTTGCCTCTCGGTTGATGAGATTCATGGAGGACAAGGCCGAGGACATAAAGCAAGGCCTTGCAGAATCTAGTGCCTGGGAGCCTGGGCAGGCACGAGCCTGGGGCCTGCAGCTCATAGCCTTGCACGTGCACCGTGACAACTGGCCTGGACCTCGAGGGTACATTCGGTGCCGCACTTTCTGATGCCAATGCGTTTTGGACGATCTTCTCGCTCGCACAGGTCAGCACTGCGCTTCTATCAAAAGAAGGGCTTTGAGGTCCGGCATGTTGCGGAGAGTGCTTGAATCAAATATGCAGAGCATTGCGGAGCCATGTGAGATGAAGGGAAGCGCACAGACATCCTTGGAAGCAATACAGTGCAATGGGTGCAGTGCATACTTGCGGTCAGAGTGTTGGCAACTAACGGTGCAAGCCCTTCCAAAGGGTGATGCTGCTGTGCAATTGTGCTCCTACTGCAAGGTCACTTCGGACTGGCTCGGCTGGGGCGACAAATTTTTCTTGCTTCTGAAGCCCTTATCGGTGGCGGAGAATACCGCCGTTTAGAAGCACGTCCTCGGTGATTTTTGTCTGTGTGACAGTCCCCGGACTTGCTATGGTGGCTAGACATTTTGTTGTTGTGATTTCCACATGCAATTTGGCAGCTGCTTTGCTTGAACGTGCTGAGATGAGCCGCTGCAGTCACGTGACTGACAGCTAGTCTCACTTGCTGTGGACTTCTGGATGGGCTGGCTTCTACCCGGACGTTGGTAGATGTCAGCAGCTCAAGTTGCAGAACCAGCCTTTGACTAGTGACGCTTCTCACAGAAACAGCCCATGAAGATGCTACAGCAGGTTGGAAATTTGTTAGACTTAGCCGGCATTCTTAGTTCCTCCGGGGCATGTGATGTGTAGTACAGGTAAAGACGGAACTTCAGTTTTTTTCTGCGTGCATCCAGCTTGACATGCCCTTGCCTCCATGCACAAAGTTCCTGTATGGCGCCTGAAGAGTGCTGAGCATACGCAAAAGTCTGTGTAACGGATCTGGAGGTTATACCAACACTCGCGCTTCTTGCTCTTGCGAGCTAGCTATGTTTTCCATTTGCATGCTGGACAGAACCCGCCAGCTCGAGTTCACGCATTCTTTCCGTTGCTTTGGGCACAAAGAAGCTTCCAAGATGTCAGGGTTGTTTATGTACCAGGAATTCATGCAGGGCATACTGTGCCCTCTAGAGATGACGTTTCGTGCCTTTGGCCGAAAGGCCGGCAGCTTCTGAATGAGGGGCTGTTGGTCGCATTCGATTTTGCCAGGTGGATGTGTTTTTGGAGATCTGCAAGACATAGTTGAGGCTGTGTACCACAGCCACGTTGGCCATTTCAATCGCAGTCCCTCCGCATTCTGTGTTGTGCTGCGTGATGACTTTGCGAGGCTGCGCAGCAGCGTGAACAAGTCAGGAGCTGGCATGCGATGCGCTCAAGATGCGCTAAGACCGGTTGAGAAAGGGCAGCTTTGTGATCTTTTTCAGGGGCATTCGGCAGCGCTTTGCTTGGTGTTGGTGCCTGCCTGCCGCCGACGAGGTTGTGGTTTTAGGCCGGGCTGCCAGACTGACTCGCTCCCAGATGGCCAAAGACATGTATTTGTGCAGGTGCTGGCTCTTTTGCGTGACCGTCCAGATGAAGGGCTGCCACGCCAAAACAAGAATCAGGCACGAGCCTTCAAAGATAGCCCCTTGTGCTGGTTGCCTCAAGTGTGTAGGCTGGGAGTTGTTGAGCTTGTTTGGATATGGGCAGCTTTTCAGCAAGACCTTACCTAGAAGCAATCATTGGATCATATCTGTCAAATACAGGACAGTCTCGCTAAGCCACGATTGACTGTTTTGGCTCCTTGGCCCTCATACACGCTAGATATGGCCATGGGCAGGTACGGGAAACGTGCTGTCTTCATCTCTAGGCCGGAAACTCGAAACTGATTGATGTTTCATGCGCTTGTCCAGGCTTGGAGTCTGTACATCCCATCTGCCTCCTTGCTTGTACCTTCTGCAGTTTGCGATGAAGAAAAGTTGGCCACCACGAATGACTATCACCATCACCATCACCATCACCATCATCATCATCATCATCATCATCCTCGTCATCAACGTCATCATCATCATCATCATCATCAAGTCGCCGCGACTACCACTCCCAGTGCTGCTGCACCAGTCAAGTTACTTGTGCCACTGAAGTCTACTCATCACATACCATCACGTGCCACGCCCGCCCTTCGCATCGGTCATCGCCACCCCAAGGCCGCTTGTCACTACATGCGCCCTGTGAAGCCCGATGAGGTCGGTGTACTTGCAAAAATTCGTTCACAGAGCTAGTCGGGTGTGAGTGGAATCTCTTTGATGCAAAATACGACAGACACGCGGTCTTACCATGAATGTGGCTCAAAGCATCCCCAAAACTTCCCAAGCACTTGCATGCAGGCGTGCTTTTGTTTGCTGATGATATCTGAGGCCAGGCTTAGCTTCTGTTTTCTTTATGATGCACTGCTGCATTGTTGGCGCAAACTTGTATCCAGAGAGCATTCGCCTGGATATTCACAGGGGTGGTGATTTGGAAGCGAAATAGAAAGACCCAACTTATCGGTAATTTCCCGTAGAATCTCGTTACTGATAGCACAAATGTTCATAATATACCTACCTCGTTGGGAAGTGATCGGGATGTTCCGCAGCATATTGCACGACGCACGCTTTGGGAACCCAATGTCAAGGCTCCCCTGTCAACTTCGTAGCAAAGTAGTTCGAGCATTGGACGGGCTTCAAACAGCTTATTGCAAAGCAACTCGTTTGGCCGCTTAGCCATAATTTGAAGTGATCAATGGAAGAATGATGACATTTTACACCCTGCTTGGTGGAAATGGGTGCTGTTCAACAATGTATCAGTTGCCAATTGCCACTAATCGAACTCCCTGAATTTCAGGCAGCGAAAGGATATGATACTCCCTGCAATTATCAGAGGGCAGCTTTCCCTGGCCTCAGCGTAGCGTGACAGAGATGTTGTGGGGCGAGACAGTTTTGGGATTAATTCCAGGCAGGAAATTTGGTTCATACTGTTTCACATCTGGAGGACAAAGACGCCATGTACCACGACACTGCTCATTACATGAACATGGCCACGGAGGAGAAGCCTTAGGCGGGATTGCGGCTGAAAAAGCTTAGGTCGTCGCAGTTCTGTGTCTTGATCGCCCATGCAACTAGGTTCGCCCGCCTCAAGTATAAATTACCATCGAGATGCGTGAGCTATCGCTACACCGAACGTGCGAAGGACTCGAACTCACAGCTCCCTGTCATGACCAAATCTAAAGACCGCGGCTTAGTCAGTGAGGCCGTGCGTTTGAGCCAAGCCATTCTTGTGGGCCATTCAGCCTAGCAGCCGCCGTCCGCGCGCACCCCGCAGTTGCGCTCCTGGTAAAGCAACTTCATACCGAGCTGGAGCTGCTTATTTTGCACACGTTGCGCTGTGCGTCCAGGAAGCAGAGCGCTAGTGACGCTGTAACACTGTAACATTTGCACTGAACTGCATCATTCCCTTACTCTGCTCTTCTTGCAGTGTTGGATCTGGATCTGTTTTGATGAAGCCATTGGCATGTTTGGCATGCTTGGACCCAAACTTTTCAAATTAAAGAGGTTTCTCAAGCTCGTGGAGACCAATGTGGCAAGTAGTAAGGAATCCGGGCCAGCCTCATAGCTGAACTTGGGGCCCAGAGGTGTTTGAGTACCAGAATTCGAGTATGAAGCGGTGTCAAAAAGCTCATGCCATCAGCGCCGGCCTACAACAAGACGTAGTTCAGCTGCTTGAACCCTAAACCCTAAACCCTAAACTATCTTGGGGTCTAGGCACTCTTCCTTTTGCCGGCACGCGCACAAGATGAGCACAGGGCGCCACTCCCAAAACATTGACGAAAGGCAGGAGGCCTCAATGGAAACTACTTTTGTATATTGGGGTTATATAGGGATTATATAGGAATTATGGGGTTATATTGGGGTTATATAGGGATAATGGAAAAGAAAATGGAAACTACTAAAGGCAGGAGGCCTCAGCAGTCCTCAAGTGGGTGGTTGTCAAAATTATGGTCCCTTTTGGGATCCCTATTATAATATGGCCTCTAATATTTAGGGCACCATAATTTTGACAACCACCCAAGTTTTTCCCAAGAAGTACAACCTTCGACTAGCAAGTTTGCGCTTCACTGCAAAACTTTCCGTCGCATCAAAGAGACAAGGGAGGTGGATGGTCAATGAAGAGAACCAGAGGGTGGTAATCATCATCATCATCATCATCATCATCATCTTCACTGAGACTGCATTTCTCAAATTTTAGGCCCTCCAGGGCACACCCTAAAACATGGAAATGTTGGTTGGATGCTAGGGACCGGGGACTGCAAAATCATTCTGTGTGATGGGCTTCGCATGTGAGAACCCTTTTTTCAAAACCCTGCTCTTGGAGGCCCTCGAGGGGCGTGTTGAAGCGTAGCATTTGTACCTGTAGTAGGGGCAACAGTTATTGTGGTGGTGGTCGTCGTCGTAGTGCCATGTAGGTCCTGAATACCTGGAGAAGGCGAAAAAGGTCCATTTCTCATCTTGGGGCACTCTCGTACCGCTCGGCCTCTCTTTAATTACTTGAAAGTATTATTTAGATCGGGCCTAAGACAGGTCTCGGAGCCAGCTTCAAAAGACCACAGAAGGGTGGAGAGGGGGTGGTGGTGCCACCCTGGAGCAGAAGCAGCCGCCACCTACAGTAGTTCTATTCTACGTCAAGCAACTAGCCTCGCTGTCATCGTTGACCTGCTTGGTTGCTGTGTATCCCATGCTTCATATGCGCCATGTCTACAAGCAGGCATGTCATCCAGACGCTGCCCGCAGCTGGATGGAGGCTGCTTGCATCCGGAGTTGTTGCTAGAATGGCTCCGCGACTGGCCATCGGGAATTGCTGTGTTTTGGGAACACGGCAGCAGCATTCTTGTTGCCATCTCTTTCGGCTCGGGTTAGGTGCCAATAGGTTTAGTGTCCAGGCACCATCTCTTCGCGTGACAGTGTAGCCTGATGGCTAAGACGACTTTCGGTGTATGTTGCATGAAGAAGAAGATGAATTCAGACTCCATGGCAGAGCTGCTCAAGCGGCTCGAAACGACTGGAAAATTCAATATCGTCCGGTTCGAAGAGCGCATGATCCTCAACGAGCCAGTTGAAAAGTGGCCTGTGGTGACGTGCCTTCTTGCGTTCGCCTCCTCTGGCTTCCCCTTAGAGAAGGCCATTGAATACCAACGGCTACACAATCCGCTGGTCGTCAATGCTCTGGAGGAGCAGAAGCTCCTCACGGATCGCGTGCACATGTATGCGACTCTGAAGCAGGCCGGAATTCCGTGCCCAAGTCACATGGTCATCGACCATACCACAGCTCAACCGGGCGATCTGCAGCAGGATGACGATAGAATCATTTTTCGTGGCAGAACCTTGAGCAGACCCTTCGTGGAGAAACCCCAAGATGGGGATGACCATGATGTTTGGATCTACCACTCGACGAAAGAGGGTGGCGGTTGCACAAAGTTGCACCGCAAAAAGAATGATCAGTCCAGTGTGCGCGACTTCGAGCAGAAGCGCATCAGAGAGAAGGGGATTTTCATCTACGAGCCCTTCCTCGACACACGTGGTCTCGACATAAAGGTGTCTGCTTTCGTCAAGCATTGGACCCCGCCTGAAAGCCTTAGTCTAGAGTCTAGGGGCTCTAGTCGGTAAGGAAGGGTCATCATGCCAGCCTCTAGACAGAGACCATGAGAGACCCGACTTTCAATCCACACGCAGACGTGCAGGTTTATGCTGTGGGGCCCAACTACGCTCATGCAGAGGGCCGAAAGGCTCCCAGCGTGGATGGCCAGGCGCTGTACCATACTGATCCATGCTGCACTATGGTTGGTTAGGGCCGTTGAGCAGTTAGGGTGTTGTGTGTGGTACTTGCTGAGTTTGGGGGAAGCTGAAGACAGCCTGCCTCTGTTTCGGAGGTGGAGCGGCAGGCAAATGGCCGCGAAAAACGCTACAACATAGAACTGACCGAGCAGGAGAAACAGCTGGCCAGCATGGTGGCATCCCAGCTAGTCATAGAAATGATTCATGCTGAAATAGAGGCACCTAGCTACTAGCCTATAGAGTGAGCATATGAGCCACCACCGTTAAGGGGGGTTCCAAACCACAACAAGAATACAAAATCAACAACGAAGAAATACCTCCCCGACTAATTATACACTTGTACATGTGGCGTGTGCAAGCCTTGGGGGGGGGTGGGCTGGAGGGTCAAAGGTCTCTGGATTTGGACAGGTGTGCATTTTTTGGGGCGAAAACTGACGTCCTTTGAGGGGTCTTGCATATGGCCCAAACCTTGGGGGGGGGTGGGCTG